TGCCCAGCTGACTAGTAGAATGCCCACAGCTAGGTTTTGTTTCTACTGGTGATGCACAATCGCACACACTTTGGTACAAACAAAATTTATTCTACACATAGATGGACAAAATTAGAGGGAACATTGAATATACCTTATATAAACCTGTACTTGTTCTCTACAGAATCGGTGTATGCAATTAACCTGCATGCAAAGTATGGGCTCATCCCATTGAAGGGTGAGCTGAGGGTGATATTCCCATTCAAATATTCTTGAGAAGGAAGATGAAGGTTAGCCAGTCTTCTGTGTTCATGGCCCATATACCACTGTGCTTTCTTGGCTTGGTTTTTCACATTGTAATTCATGGTGAGAAGATGGTACGGCCATTAAGCTTTAAGGATAATCACTGATTAGACACAAGGTAAAAGTTTTTCAATATCCTTAAAAGCACAATGTTTGTGGAAATGATTCTGTGTCCCCATGCAGTAGTTATCTATTAACTGAGATGGTACATTTATGGGCTGTCCATGGAATAGTGCCATTAGTTACCATACAAATCAAGGAGTTTCAGTTATAAACAACCTCTAATGCAATAAAAGTTTCCATCACATGGTCATTTTGCATCTTTAATGTTCCTGAAACTGCCTTCCAAAAATTGTTTTTAAATTAACCGGAAGCATCATGAGATTGAAGATGTCAAAAGGTCTATGTGAAAGCTCACAGAAGACCATGATAAAACTGTATGCCTGACAATATAAAAGGTTACTGCCAATTAACTCACACTACTCTGTTTTGTTTTCAGCCATTCTTGCTAAACAATTGATGCAATACAAAAGATGCCAACTAATGGACTCAATCCTAAAAGCACTCTCTGCATTCAGCTGCTATGTAGGGTTTTTTATCTTAATGTATTTCAATCCAGCACCTATTGTACCCATGATTCTGACTGCTGCAGTGTGTGTGTGAGCAACTGACAGTCTTTAAATTTCTTATTCTGACAACACCCCTGTGAGGCAGAGAAATGCTATTATGATCATTTTGCAGAGAACTAGGATACCTATCAGCTATTAAACTGATGAGAGTCAGGTACCAAGCTGCTTTTTAAAAATCTCACCAAGGGCTAGATTCACAAAACAGCTGAGGTGCCTAACAGCCACTTTTAGATGCCTAAATCCCAGAACCAGACACCCCTCCTCCAGGATTCACAAAATCCTCTTTCAATAGCCACAGAACCCTGTAGTTGGCTAAGCTTGCTCAATACCTACATTTTTGTAATTTAAGCATCTGTGTTTCTGTCTCCCTGTACCAGTGCAACTGCCTGTCTTTTCACAACTGCTTAGCCAGGATGCTATCCCCACTCTGGTATTAGCACACTTCTGATTTTGATTCTCAGGGGCTGTGTCTAGACTGGCAAGTTTTTTCCGCAAAATCAGCCGCTTTTCTGGAAAAACTTGCCAGCTGTCTACACTGGCCACTTGAATTTCCGCAAAAGCACTGATGATCTCATGTAAGATTGTCAGTGCTTTTGCAGAAATACTATGCTGCTCCTGTTCGGGCAAAAGTCCCTTTTGCGCAAAACTTTTGCGCAAAAGGGCCAGTGTAGACAGCTGAGATTTGTTTTGCGCAAAAAAGCCCCGATCGCGAAAATGACGATTGGGGCTTTTTTGCGCAAAAGCGCATCTAGATTGGCCACGGACGCTTTTCCGCAAAAAGTGCTTTTGCGGAAAAGCATCCGTGCCAATCTAGACGCTCTTTTCCGCAAATGCTTTTAACGGAAAACTTTTCCATTAAAAGCATTTGTGGAAAATCATGCCAGTCTCGACGTAGCCAGTGTGTTCTCCTTGTGTGAACTCTACTCCAAATCTAAATAGGATTTTTGAACTGTGAGGTTTTTTGAGAGTTTTTTAGTCTGTCCATTTCCTTCAGAGATTCTGTTGTAATATAAAATTAATTAGCATTTATCAAATAGTCTGAGTCCCAGAAAAGATTTGATTGACACAGGATCCAGAAAATCCTAAACAGAAGTAGAGCCAAGATTTTTTTTATGACTTACCCCAAATCTCTTATAGGGTCTGGAAGAGAACTCAAGAGTCCTGTTTACTTCACTAAAGATGGCCTCATTCTCCCTCTCCAGAACATCCCTTTTGACTTGTGGGCTACATCTAGACTGGCCCCTTCTCCGGAAGAGGCATGCAAAGCAGGCAAGTCAGAATAGGGAAATCCGTGGGGGATTTAAATAAACATGGCCGCTGCTTTTTTTCCGGCTTGGGGAAAAGCCGGAAAAGAGAGTCTAGACTGGCGCGATCCTCCAGAATAAAGCCCTTTTCCGGAGGATCTCTTATTCCTACTTGCAAGGATCGCGCCAGTCTAGACGCTCTTTTCCGGCTTTTCCCCAAGCTGGAAAAAAAGCGGCGGCCATGTTTATTTAAATCCCACGGGGGATATTTAAATTCCCTGCGGATTTCCCTATTCTGACTTGCCTGCTTTGCATGCCTCTTCCGGAGAAGGGGCCAGTCTAGATGTAGCCCACAAGTCAAAAGATTCACTAGTTTCAGTTACTTCTTATTAACCTGAGGAAGCTGTTAGAGGCTGGACAGCCTGCTCTCTGCTTCTCTGGGTGCTAGAAGTGTGTCAGCAGATTTTTGGCAGTCGTGGCTTGGATGGTCTGAGTGCCAGGGGCCTTTCCCACCTGTTTCTTTAAATGCTCTCTTCATTGTCAACAACAGTGGAAGGTCCTTGTCGGTTTGGAAGAGACATTGAATAGAATTGTATCAGGTTTCACATCCAGGGCAACTTGAGATTTCTCTGTCTTTAAAATTATCTTTTTTTTAGTATTATTGAGGAAGCAAAAATCTATCTTTTTTCATACCTCTCTGATGGGATGGTAGCAATTCTGTTTCATTTCAAATGATATAATCTAGAGAAGTGGTTTTTTAAACTTTTTAAGACCGCAGAACACCAAACAATCTTTTTTTTTTTAATGCGGAACACTGGGGGAAAGTTGTTGAGAAAAAAAAAAGCAGTCATGGCCCCTTTAATTGCCTCACGTATTGTCGTCCCTCCTCAAAAAAAAGTTAAAAGAGGCCACAGTACATCTCTGACTGTCTTGCGGCACACAGTTTAAGAAACATGGAGCTAGAGTATAATTTTCAAAAAATGCTTAAGTGATTTGGTCACTTTTTTAAACAATTTAGCCTTAGGCTATCAGGAAAACTTGAAATAAAACAAATGGAGACACTCAAGTGGAATTTGAAAATCACCTCATTTAAACACAATGTTGGTTTAAAAGGATAATAGTTATCCACTGTGGAGGCATAATCAAAACACAGATATACTTTCACCATCATGTAGTTTCCAAGGCCAGTCTAGGTTTTGCTAGGGATGTTAAATGGCAGGTATTTGAATAGTCCTATAATAACATGAAATTTTAGTGGTTACACAATTATTTGATAGACCCTGGGGGTGGGGCCAGCAGGCAATGTGCTCCCGGCCCCATTCCTGAGGAGCCCTTTTCCACCCCTGCACTGCTGCATCTGAGCGTAGGGCGCAAAGGGAGCTGGTCCACAAGGGGAGCCAGTTTAAAAAACAGCTCCCCTTGTGGACCGGCTGCCTGCTGCCCCGCATTACTGCCTCTAATCCAGAGGCAGCAGTGTGGCGTGGCAGCAGCCCCTGTCTATCGGAGGGGACGGGGGGAAGCGGGTCTGAGCTCACCATGGACAGAGGCTTCTCTGTGGGATGCAGAGGCAACAAGGGGGGGGAATGCGAATAGTTGACAAGATTAACCAATAAACGTAGGCTTATCAGTTAATCGTCTAGTCAACTACTCATTGACATCCTTTATAGATAACAATGACATACAAGGCTCCTTAATAGCTGTTTCCTTGCCTTTATGTTAAATATAAGAAATGTTTAACACACACAACTTTTCTTTTCCAAATATTTTACAGATATTAACTTATTAGCATCAAAGAGGAGAATGACTCAGCATCTATTACAACAGACATAGATCGTGAGGCAAGAGTCACTCTTTTCCTGGCCAGCATTTGGGCAGGCAACCTTCCCTCTGTGTCGGGGCTTACATCTGGTTTCTGGTGTAGGGAGCCCAGCCACTTCTTTTGGGACTCCCTCCCATGCTGTTTCTAGCTCTGTAACTGCTAGCACTTTGTTTCAAACTCTTGCTCTTGTTCTCTTCTCTACCACGCCTCCCATCCTCTCACTTTCCCCCTGCTTCTAACTAAGAGACTTTTGAAGGCCTCCAGAAGGCCTGAAGTGAAGTCAGCTGGCCCCAATCTGCCTGGGCCAGCTCCCTGCCAGGTGCTCTTAATTGTCCTCCTGCTCTCCACTGCTAATTAGCAGGCCTTTCTCCCTTTTTGGGCTGCCTTTCCCCCACTCTTTAGCAGCCCTCTGGCCTGAGCTTATCATAATAGGAAATAACTGACATAACCAATCATTCCTAGCAATATAACTAATCCAGAAGGGGCCAATGTTAAAATATTGACAAGAGAATGTGAAAATCAAGGAATATAGCTAGAGTTACTGTAATTTTCCACATATATGCAATTTTAATACAGGGAGCACTTCTGTGTCAAGACCCACTTTCTGTGTTCAGCTGGACCTGCATCACAAATATTAAATACAATTCTTAAAGAAGACCATCTAACTAGTACATGTGGAAGACACAGCTATCGGTACTTTAAGTGTGTGAGCTATGAAAATGTGTATTCATGAGGAAAAGATATTGAGCACTTATAAAAATGGAATATTTGGCTTGGAGGACACTTCATGTGACAAACACAAAATTTACAATAGAAACTAAAGTTATTTTATTTGGAGCATATTGTATCTAAATATTTAATTACAGAGGAATGTAATGATTATCAACTTGTTGAATGAAATTTGTTTCCATTTCTCTGCTCTGTCAATTCCAAACATCATTCAAACTGCCTTGCTGTTAATAACATAAGTGCCACATTCTGTAAGTGATGAAAAATGAAGCATTCCAACACTGAAAGGCACCTCAATTAACAAAGCTTGTTATATTTTTTTTATTTACAAGACATCACTTGCACAGAAGATTCGGTGTGAAGTGAGAATGAGGAGCACACAGTGAATACACTCATCAACATACAAATAATTATTAAAAAGAAAAGAAAATGATGAATCTGACATATGACAGTTAAGAAACATGGTAAATTCATGATCAACCCATTTCCTCTCATTTTCCAGCTCTGTAGAAAAAGCCAGCATCCTTCCATCAAGTGCTAAGAAGTCATCTTTATGAGCATTTTAGAAACTGCTTAACCAAGCAGAGTATCTTCTCCACATGGATAATCACAGGCCATATGAATTGTTTCTTACCAAGACAACCTTTCCAGCCCTTGATTGTGTGTGGTTTTTATTAGCCACCGAGACAATGTCCCTCAGCAACCTCCATGTTAAGTTCCTCTGGTGACAAACTTCCATTCAAGTCACAAGGCTCACAAAAGAAAACCTCAAGTGTCCAGCATAGAATTTTCAAAAGAGCCCCACTGTAAATATTACAAATTAGTCCCTCATTGTGTGCATACGTACGCATAGTAGAAAACTAGGCTTACTGACAAGTTTAACTTTTGGTAAGAAACTTTACTTCTGCTGTGGTTAGCAGGTTATTTTGTCATCATAAGTCTCCCACTAGCTAGAACTGATTGTGAATTACATTACACATTAACCATGGGCATCAGTTTTGATGGGGAAAATGATGTCTTTGCATACACAATGAAAACTTTTATTGGAGAAGCATTGACTTTAGATAGATGCAGAATACTTCTCTGAAGATAGGACAGTATTCTCCCTTAGGACCTGACAGGTTAGAACTCTTCAGATCTGATATTTCCAATTCTTCTTCTTTTCTTTACAAAAAAATTAGTGCAGAATGGGTTGAGAAAAGCCAGCAGAATGGCTTACACTAGAATGTCACTTCTCTTACTGCACCACACCACCACAGTTATCATGGCAATCATCAACAATACTGGGATTAAGATCAGAGTCATGAGAATTTCATCCGGAGGATCTTCCCAGTGAACCTTTTCTGAAGTACAGTTTGAAAAGAATTGTTTATGAATTCCAGTGATGAAGCCCTGTGCGAGTGAGTTTGGCCAAAAGCAACTTGCAGCGTTGGCTTCCCGTTCTGTGCAGATACTGAAATTGTTGTAATACCTAGGGAGAAAGACAAGAAAATGGAAGTAAGTCTGAATAAAAATTATTTTGTTTTTCTTTAAAAAAAAAAAGTCTGCTCCCATTTTGCTTTTTTAGATATTTCAGATAGTTGTAAACAGATCATCCATCCCCTTGTCTCTTGTTTTTTCACCCGATACAAAAACTTCTGGAATCCCGGGGGGTTAGGGGGAGGTGGTTGTTGTTCTAAAGCATGGCTTATCAAATAGTAATTTTATTTCAGTAACTACAGGCAAAATTTTGGCATTTGCAATAAAGCATTTTTGAGATTGCCTTTTTATAGGCTCTTTGACAATCTGTTCACCCTCATGGTGTTTTTCATTTGATTTATGCAGTTTTAGTAGAATTGACAACAGTTATCATGTGTCTAATCTATACAGTTGCACCAGTGCTGAAGGAAATACATTGCCCTGAGTGTTCAGCACCTTGGAAAAGCAAGCAGTGTCCGACATGTCTGAGATGACACAGTGAGTCAGATGCAGTGTAGTTGTAGCAATGTTGTTCCCAGGATATTAGAGAAACCCCACGTACCTTGTCACAATGAGTCATAAGCAGAATTAAGAATACACTATTCCTAACTCCTAGACATCTGGTCAGGCTTCTAAACAGGCTCAGTAAAATCCTGGCTCCACTGAAGTTAATGGCAAAGCTCCCAGTGATTTTAATGTGGCCTGTAGTTCACCCTCTCATTTTAACTCATGTAGCATTAGACTGCACTTCCCTTGGCAGAGGTATCAACAATACCCATAAAAATCAAATGTGGCAACTGCAACAAACTGCAAGTGAATTATAAGTAATTCATGCATAGTCTGTTGCCAGGCGGGAGGCTGAGGCCAAGTGCAGTCTCAGCATGAGATCATGAACTGCTGAATAACAATTTCAGTCCTGCTGTGTGCGGACGCAACAATCAGAGAAAGAGCCAATAAAAATGAAATAAAGCCTTGAGATTTTTTTTGAAATCTTAACCTTTCCCACATCAGAGTTAGACTGTAATGCTTGTCTACACCCTTTGGAGAGATCTACTATACCCAGGGACACACGAAACTTAATTTCAGCTCAGTAGAGCATACAGAAAGATGTATATAATGTTTGAAAGTTAACCAAAGTTGGTATTTCTGAATGCAGGCTATGCTCAGAGCAAGGAAACAATAGACCTAATTGAATAATTTGATGGATTGTTGTGATGGGATCATGAGATAAGGGGATTTGAAAAGGAATAGAATGGTGAGAGGTAAGAGGAAATTAGGATGTTGAATTGTGTCTGGACAGCACATAGAGAGGAGAAGGAATGAGGAAACTGAATAATTGTCTGTTGTACTTTCCCATGTACCCTTCAATGATGGGTGACTTAGTAAAATTGTTTCTAAGGGAATGAAACACTACTTGATGCCTTCAGTGACAGCATGCTGCACTATTGTCTGTGAAGCCCTGCTCCTACCCAATATACAAGCACAGTAATTGCCTTTGAATGACACATTTCCTGCAATAGAAAAATAATGTCCCTGGGAACTGATGGTGACTCAATCGTTGGTTGTGTGGGAGCAAAGCTGAACCACTCAGCATCAGAGGCAAAGACTGCAGTCCACTGTATAAGAACAGACATTGCCTCTGAGGACATTGCCTGCCATGCTACTGTTATGCAGGCACAGAACACTGCATCGATAAGGTCTATGGTTACCGTCTTAAAGTCATGTGCATAAGAGAGAACAGCAGCCTGGTAAAAAGACACAGGTCAAAGCCTCGACCTCTTCTCCTTCCCGTTGGAGTTGGCACAGTTTTTAAAACTTTGCTTATAGCTTCCTATACAAATACTAGGTCATCTAAGGCCAAGATGTGCTGGCACATCACCAACTAGCATGAGAATGGAGAGCAGTGGTTCTCCAGCTGTTGAGACACCAAAGTGGGTTGCAACTCCATTTCAATGGGGTCACCAGAGACAACATGAGACTCGCTGAAGCCTGAGAGCCTGAGCTTGGGGAAGCAGAACTCTGGGCCCAAATCTTCAGAGGCCTTATGTTGCTGTGTATTATGCGTATAGGTAAAAATGGCTCTGCCTTGGGGAATTAGGCACCTAGGGGATTAGGCAGCATCTGAGCTGTGGTTTTGAAAATGTTAATGGCAACTTAATGGAGGAATAAGGTGCTTAATGAGGCAGAATAGTGGCTAAATACTTTGAAAGATTTGGGTCCCAAGCCATATGCATTGGGCTACACTCTGTCTTCTGCTAGACAGTACAACTTACTAATAATCGAGGTACGTGTGAATATAAATTACTCTATAAATCTAGAGTACTATATTCCTACCATCAAATTCATCAAGGTGGCTTACAAATTCTGTAGAAAAAATAACATTCTTTTAAGTTCTATAAGAGTTTTTCAGTGCTGTTGGCTGATTTCAGCAAAACAGTTACCCATTGCTTTTGTATCTAAGTCTAATATAGTCCAAAGAAATAGAACCAAACAGCTGCCAAGTTCCCCCACATAGAAAGATAAAAATAATTAGGTTTGTTGTAGTGTGTTCAAAAGACTGAATCCCTAAAAGCCAATCCACACCTACACATGTAATCTTAAGTAGAATTCTGCAGAACATTCACTTAAAACCTCAGACCTCAAAATACTAATGTTTTGCCTACATTATAACTGCATTTTAAAAACACAGTTTTGAAATACAATATACTTCTGATATCCCGAAATAGTGCTGCAATATAGATGTAGCTTTACTGCCTAACTAGAGTTCCCATTTAAAAAAAAAATCTCTATTACCTCAACCTGCAAATTAGACACTTTAGAAGATTTCAGTTGAATTCTGGTTATTAAAATGTGAGATTTCTTTATATGACCAATTGGTTTATAAGTATTTTTGAGAAAGTGGAGAGTATTAATTAATTAAGGAATGTTTAATTCTTACTCAAATTCTTACTCAAATTCTTATTCCCTTTGGGTATGTCTACACTACAGCATTATTTTGAAATATATTATTTCGAAATAGTTAATTCAAAATAAGATATTTTGAACTAAGCATCTACACAGCGCTTATTTCAATTTAGCTATTTCAAATTTGGCATTATTCCTCGTGGAATGAGGTTTACCAAATTCAAAATAAGTGCTCTGCTATTTTGATTTAATTTTGAAATAGTGGTCTGGCTGTGTAGATGCTAGTAAAGTTATTTCTAAATAACGGCTGTTATATTCTTTGTTTTGATTGTGAACTCTTTATGCCAAGAACTGACTTTGTGTTCTGTGTTAGTACAGCACAATGAGGTCCTGATTCATAAAATATGATTTCTATAATGAGGACACTGGTTTACTGTGGACCTGACTCTATAACTCTGATATAAGTAGTTGTACTGAAATCAAAGTGTCCAAATACATTTAGCTGAGAGCTACAACACACTTCACAGAGACTGACAAACCAAATTTACCAGAGCTCCAAAATCAAATTCTGCATTTCTTGTTTTGTGCTAAATACTTCCCACTGTTATATTCACGAGAATTTGTGTATGCTTTCATTAGAAACTGCATATTTTGTCACATTTGAAATTATTGCTGATACATGTTAGCAAATAGCTTTGCACAGCATGAAAAATGGCCAAATTCCTCCTTGGAACAAATTACAAGTTTTCATACATTTGCTATATTCGCAAAACAGTGGTATTGTTTTCAGAGCACAAATAGTTTTTCTTTCCCTGCACTTGAAGTGTTCTAGAAAATAAAGAATAATTCAGAACACAACTGTAATGTTCTTTACTTTTTGAAAGACATGTAAAAATACAGTTTTGCAGTGATTTTTGCCTGTGGTGAAATTGTAATGAATATTTTTACCTGCAGTCCCAGATTGCCATTTAACTTATTTTCCTTGGTACTGAAATGTGTATTTGTCCTGATTAGTGTGGTCTGGGATATCCATCCAAAGAAATAGAAGATTAGGATGTGTATGTACAGTACTGTGTGTCAAGCCACATCAGAAAAATCCATACATTCACTTGATGGAAATACTGAACAAACTAGTAGAGAAATCCAATAATAAAATTCTACCACACATGCAGCATGTGTGCAGTTAGCTACCCTCTATGGAGTTTTCCCATATTTGTGACCACGGTATGCATCTCAGACACTTTGCAATAAGCTTAAGAAAGTGCTTTGTCCTACTTGGATAAGGTATTTTAAAATCTTTCACCACAATGTCACAATCTACCTTTCTACAATTAACTTAATTATTATGTTATGCCCTAAGCTCCTGGGCAGTCTTTAAATCAAGGCACTGAAATTAGATAGTAAAATACATAAACCATGAATTTATTGATTATATTTTCACTTGAATATTCACACATCACAGACCAAACTTCCAAAGTCCTGTCCCAGGATTCTTGAGGTTTAATCTAACTATTGCAATGGATTCTCTAGAGACAGTATCTTTCTTTTGTTGTTCTAAAGTGACTCATGTAGCAATTTTAAATTAATAGAGAAAGAAAATCCCTTCTTTGTATTCCTCTTGGGAGGGGGGGACAAGCCTCCTTATTCAAATAACCTTCAATTTACAGTATATAGTAATAGGAATAGTAGTAAGAATATTGTAGCGCCTCAGAGCCCCAGTCATGTGCAATAGTAAATATTACATCCTGACCCAAAGGCAATAGGATAACCTATAGGATAACCCCAACCAAGGCTATCTGTATCTCTAAAAACAGCAGCTTGAAATTTTAATTACTGCATTGATTATTATGGACCAATTTTCTTAATTAATCCAAACACTTCATGCTTCTCAACTAACAGTATCTGTTGCTCAGATATATGAGTAGAACCCTGAATGGATACAAAATGTTTTATCTGCATCTGCAATCTGTATCCACAAAAATGAATTAGAACTACCCACATCTATATCCACAGATGCAGATAGCCACAGCTATAAAGCGGATAACTGCAAATTTGCAGAGTTCAAGACACAAAATTTATATCCTCATCTGCATCTATATCTGCAAAAAA